ACTTGAGGGGATTATGTCGAAACCAGTGGAATCAGTAAATTAAAGCTGATTCCTTCCTAAGTCTCTTTCCTAAGAAGACCTAAACCTCAAAAAATCTTAACACCATCAAACCAAACCAGAAACACAAGGACACTTTGTGGGGTGGTTTGTTGCTAAAGCTTTGTTGAAGAATCTGAAATAAAGAACTGAATTGTATGCCCCACGAGATAAATCTGTGGCTAATGGGGATTTTTACAAGGGTGTTTGTTCTATTGTTCAGTATCATTTTCACCCATCGTCTAACATTGCTCATAACATGGCCGTATGCATGCACATACAGGTATCACTCCACATTTGTGTTTTTAGCACATTATTTTGCGACATAAGCACTACAAATTTTGTACCATCCTTTTTATGCTAAAAATATAAGCTAATGTCCCCATATAAAAACATATCATTTTCGCAATGGCGAATGGATGGAATTTTCAAGAGTGGTGTGCATATAAGTATATATAGATACACAGTAATCGCAAGAGCAGGTATTTAAATATGTGACAAGAAGAGAGAATGACCCCCCCAAATCAATGGGAACTCGCAATCTCATAAATTTTGTGTTTCAAATGGCACAATGAGATTTTAAAATCTATCGATATGAGACAAATATTTGGCCACGCTAAGTTGCATTAGAGCCAACTACAACAGTTGTTCTGTTGACTTGTGGACAATCGCAACTCTTTGAGGGACCACCAAATCTTCGTAGGAGGACGTTCCTAAATAGTTGAAAATTTAGGGTATTACCCACCACATGCACCAATAGACCACACCAAGCACAGCAACTTTGCCTAATAAATATCTCCACCATATATTTAGTACCTCTGTCCGTCCGTTATCAGGAAATGTGATGACGTTGATCAAGGAAAGATGCAACAACTCGTAATTTTATTTCCAGTCAGTAGTCTGCAGATACTGAACTGATTAGAATGAACCTTGTTGATAGTTCTTCACGCTGGTTGGTGCCAAGATGAAGATAGAACCAAAATTCCAAGGATTCCAGAAGCCAATAAAATCGTTATTGGGGGAAGCCGAACTGCAGACGATTACCACCCATAATGACACTAACAAGGACTACTGCAATGAGAATATCATGCCCTTGCAATGAAGATACACTTGGCCACGAGGGTGGGTTCCATGGGTTTTCAACGGGATCAAACAACAAAGATTTATGACGTACGTCGTAGCCTAATGGAATGGGAACCAAGTTCAATAAATTGTCTGCAAATCGAGATAAACTTGCACAAACTCTCCTTGTACATATATTGAAAAGCATTGCTAATTAAATTGTTAATTTAGTTGGAAATAGCCACAAATTTCGTTAAAAATTTAGACAAGACCATGAACTTTGATTCATATACACATTTATAAAACCTAAAGTGCATACTTCATTTATCGCGAATCAGAGCCTACTTCCACATTTTGTCAGATGACACAACTACTAATGGTAAATAAATTTACCTAGTGGTAAATTTAACTGTGGGGATTAAATCTAGCCTATACATTCGGTGAAAGTTACCATACATATACATACATACCTCATATAATGCTCTTTGTCGTCATCATTTTTTTCTAGCGTGAAAAAATTCAGATTTTTTTTAGATCAACTTAATAAAAGCACTTGCTGGACCCCCTGATACAAAATTTCTAGCCTTCATTTTCTTAAATCTACGATGCACTTTCACCATGTTATCGAACTTCAGCTATTTTCAACCAATTTAAAAACCCACATCCTGCTAGGTCGCTCTGGAAAAAAATATACGTACTTAAGACTCTATATTCGTTAGTCTAATGTGCACCTGCACTATCATGCCAAATTTCAGGTTTCTACAACGGCTTACAAATTTACCTATCGCTTAAATGACCCCAAGCGATCAACTCCTGGACCGATCATGCCTATCATCGAACTCATCCACGGCCTTGGAGAGATACGCCTTTAAAACTAAGTTGGTCAAAATTGGTTCAGTAGTTTGTCCGCAAGTCATATTTATGTCCTGTAGCTAGACATGAGCCCTGTCTAGCTACAAATGGTCGCTGTATTATATACAAACGTAAACCACAGCTTTATAGACCTACAATACATTGGGCTATGAATTATTAAATCTTGACAGTGCAAAAGAGAGTACTGAAGAATTGTGAGTCAAGAAGGAAACAGGCTAATTTATGAATATGGAACCTCGCGAAGGAAAAATGCCGAAATTGCTTTCATTTCCTGAATCCTGTAATGTTAAGTGCCATCCTACTCATAAAATTATGAAAAACCTATTATTTCGAGAATACATATAATGAGGATTGGGGTGATAAACTAGTCAATAACTAATTATTTTAATATTTGGTCTAAAGTAATAGAAGGCGTCGTATGAGTACTTATTTTACAAATCTTCTTAATTTTCTATCTTCTATCTTCTACTATATTTTCTATCGCTTTGTTAAAATCTGACATAATGTTCACTGCAAGCTTAAAAATACATACTAGTGCGTAATACACACACATATAATCTACGTAAGGACGCAATGTCAATGCTAAATGCAAATTTGAAGTGCCAATAGCTGTCGTTAAAACATTTTCCATGATACCAAATTGAAGGAGTACAATGTCAAGCGTAATATTATTCAAGTTCTTTCTTGAGTGTCCAACTCTACTCTGCGAAAATGGTGGACTGGCTTCACTATTTCTTATATATCACGTATTTAGTGCACTATATATGAGTTTTAGCAATTCGTTGGTTTATGTATCTCGGTGCTCCTTGTTTGAGCCAAGTAAAGTGAAGCTCAACTTAACTATCATCATCATCTCCGTCAATCTATTATCAAACAGGATCTGGATGAGCCAATTCCCCATCCGACCCTTCTTCTCGACGTGGAGAACGTATCTGTTATCATTGGGCGAGCTTGTGCTGCGCTTGTTGCCCAAACTCTTCAGTGCCTGGAGAACCGTGAAACGCTGCGAGATTGATTCTCATCTCCAATCGTCGTCATCATCGCCAACAAGCGTGGCCAACAAGTATACGAGGACGAGGCCCTCGCGTTTACAGAAAGAAGAAACAGTCAAACAAAGACTGGCTCACTCGTTTACCTTTCTTATTAATTACGGTTCAGCTCTGTCTCTGCAAATAGAAGTGAACATTAATTAGTTTCTTATTGGTCCTTCTCCCTTGAATTTGATGACATGACAGATACCCATGTAGCCAGCTCTCCTTCCGTTTGATCCCCTTTAATTATACCCGACCTCCCAGCTTACTTGGCTTACACAGAACAGAGCAAACTCTGTAATTTAATTATTTATTTATTTAATAAATACACCTCAATAACTCTCCTATTCAATTGACAACTTGTAAAACTTTCTCGTATTCCATAACGCTCATATTTTCTCAGCAAATTGAACACATTTTAAAGGCCTCTTAAAACGAAATTTGAAATGCTGCTGCTGGGAGAGTGGCATATGTGGGGCTGAAGTGTGGTATGTTGGAAACTTGTAATTCTTATTGTAAGAAGTAAAAATGTTAAAGTGTAGAAAGTAGAAATGTTATCTGAACAGTAACTGAGAGCAAGTTTTATCGAGTTAGTTGGGGAAGATGGGGAAGGAAATGGGCTGCGGAGATGGAAAATGACACAACTTGGTGAAAAGTGTGGGAATACGAGGCCACCAGAGAGACTTTCTTATCGCTCTTTTGCCAACTTTTTCCAGGAAGCACTAAGGCAGAGTTCGAATTCGAATTATTTCGAGGAGGTGAACGATCCTCCCCCATTTCCACACGACTTTCGAACCTCCCATCAACATCTTCGCAATGATTATGACTGATGAGTGATGGTTATGGGCTGACCACTTCCCACCAAACTTTGAAATAACTTGGATCTATGTAGGCTGTTACCACTGAGGGTTCCATTACGTGCATCCTCGTTGGAGGAAAGTCTGAGCTGACCGCATGCTGACCGGCACTGCTGTGATTCTCTGATTCGATTTTGGGCGTTCTGTATCTCTGTATAGTATGTAGGACCTGTAATATTACACAACTCGTCACTCGTTGAGTAGTACTAATGTTAGTTCACGTTCTGGTGAACAACATATTCTTTAATGTTTGTGCATCTTCATAAAGCATATGTATGTAGATAAAAGTTCTTAATAAAATGGACTGACAGAAAAATTTTGGGTTTTGACAAAGTTGAGCTATACATAAGTTATCGTCCTCTTGAGAGATTATGCATGGGTTGAAATATTACCTTGTTTTTCTCGTTTTCTTATTTTAATGGGCTATTCAAATTAAATAGTTTCGTGGATATTCATAACTTAATAATAATAATATCATTCATTGATTGATTCATGTCATTCTTTTCAATACATTTTTATCCATATCTTGGCTTTGAATATTTTCAATGGCCATAAAAAATTGTGGGGTATTACACAGGACTCTCATTGTCACACACCAACTTCAGCATAATAAACAACACATTCCAAAGAGTGAGTCATCATCACTGATACGTATTTACTTGGATATTATTAAGCATGGCTAGCTCCATTTCTTATTTTCTTTAGTGGTACATGATATGAATATAAACTTTAATTTTCGATGCCAACTCCATGTACACCGATTTCAGCCACAGCATCATATGTATAGTTATATGCTACCCTCACCATAGACATATTTGTCCATATATATTCAGTTGAAATACTCCCAATATGTTATCTGTATTGTATTTGTAAATAAATATTCCGAGTTCGACCAAGATTGTTGTACTTCACACGAAATGCAAAAGATATTAAGCAACTACATACATACATGTAGGGTGATTTACAAAACTTAAAGGATCGTGGCTAAATAATGATGGTTGGAGTATACTCTCAAAGTTAAAGTCGGTTATACTGCTTCCTGGATGGAGTGGTTATCATGCACACATACACATTATGCATTGTAACATTAGAATTATCAGCTATTTTCCTTTAACTTTGAGACAAGACAATATGGCATGAACACAATTTGAGTTGTTTGTGGTTTGAACATTATAATGTGTCATGTTGGCATAAGTTGAAACTGCATAGAGCTCATAAGACATATGCAAGTCTTACAAAATTCCTTTTAAGGTTGCAATCAGTTTTATAAAGGAATTTCCAGTTCAATTATTATTGACACTAGTTTTATCACCAATTCATTCTTTTACACGTTAGCGGTTGCCAGTTGCAACTCTTTTTAATTGAAATTTATTTTTATCTGTGCGGTGATACAAATTGTTTAGTATTTATTTTTGTACTCTTTTAATCAGAGTAAGACAAACTATCTGATCTATTATTCGATGGATAAGAGAGCAAAAAAGCCGGAACGGCCCAAATTACGGAAGGAGGACATTGGCACTCCCGTGAACTTTGTGCACGTTCAACATGTCGGCTTTGGAGGAGGAGGTGGAGGAAAGTCAATTTCGCAAAGCGCCTGTACCTCTCCCACTTTTGAAAACATGGACCCATTTTTCGCTCAGCAAAATTTTCGAACGAGTGGCAATAGCTTCAACCCTGGCAAAGAAAACCGATTTTCTAATGGCCCAACCGCCCTGCCTTACGGCTCCATGTCCAACTTATCCATCCTAAGCAGCACTTACGATAACAGGAACCATCCGGGAGGATCCTCAGCCAAATTCGCAGGAGTTTCAAAGCAGAAATCTGCAAAATATTCATTCTCAGGATCACTTTTAAACCTCAGCTTTTTCCCCTTCTCCTCAAAATCGTCTTCGGTTGCGCAGCAGGAGCGGTCAAGGGGCAGTAAAAGTGAACACTGTGACACCAACATACGAACCAAGAGATTAAGCCTCGGAGTTGGATTTTCCTCAGGACCAGGACCAGTATCATCCATCCATTACTTACCAAGTCGCCCATTGACGGGTCCCCCATGTACACCACCCTTACCCCCCCAACCAGAACAAGATGCGACGACCACTCGGCCTCACGTTCGACGAAGATCTTCATCTTTCAATGGAGAAAGCGATTTTCCAACCGGCTCTCAAATGACGAGAGAACAACTGCCCTTTCCTCCTTCTCTTACCTTAAATCGACACCTGCAAAATACCAACAAAAAACAGAAAATGGGGTTCCTGCCACCTCCTTTACCATATTCGCCACCATTGAGCCCCAATTATGACGAGTTACCCCCACCACCGGACATGTCCTTCGATACCAATAATTCTGCCCCGAGTGAAGGTTTGTTAGAATCCCCGTCGTACGAAGAAGTAAATTTGCCACCTCCCATGAGTCATATTGTGCCAAGAAAAATGTCTCTTACGAGACACGCAGAATTCCCATTACCACCACCACCAGCGTCTCCACCATCTACACCGCCACCACTCCCCACGTCACCGCCACCCATCGCCAATGCGAACAGAGTTGGCTACAAGTTCCACCCACTCAAGTCAAAACTGATTCGAGTCAATGCTCCAACGCTTCCTCCGTTAAGTGTGCCACTGGTTCGGCCAAAGAATCAGAGCCCTGGGACTCCATCAACCTGGCCTCTAGAGCCTGGCGTTCCTCAATTATGCGGACAAAATCTCCAAGACGGTAAGTTTCACAATGATTATGTTTTTATATTATTCATACAGACTTAGATATTTTGGAAACGAATATTGCAATGCCTACATATATCAGGCGACTTTGATATATGTACAATTCTCTTCTTCCGTAGGATCTGGTAGGATTACCAAGAATTCTCCCTCAGAGGAGTTGAATCTATCCATTGAAGAACTTTTGAATCAAAAGGCATGTAGTAGTACTTACAACGGTACTTACAGTGAGTTGATTGATACGTGTATTCACAGTTTAAAATTTAAAATCGTTTGAAATTCCTGACAATTATTTTTAATTTCCTCAAAAGTTGATTCCAGTCACGTCGAACCTCTCAGCAAATTGTTTCAGTGCAGATTATCCCATGATCAATGGCCAATTATGATGAATAAACTATTCTCGAGAGCAAAGGAAGGAGTTGGAGAAGAAATTGCGAAAGATGGTGAATTTGTCAAAATTTACAACAACCTTTTGCAGAATACGCTACAACTGTGGCTCAAATTAGAAGGGGGTCAGACCACGTTAGAAAATGTAGTAGCTGCCTTTGAACAGACACAAGACGAGTTATTGAAAGACGGTGAGTGAGAAGTGATATCTGAGAAAGATTATACCATATTTACTATCAATGTCGTTAAAATTGCTCAATATTAATTTTACAGACTGCGGGGACAATGTTACAAAGCTGTAATGTAATCTTTGCTAACTTAATTTTTAAGAGAGAAATGTTTCAAAAAAGATTCGAATTGTTATTTAAATAAATTTTATGCATATGCCTCTGACTATTTTAAGGAAGCACAGCTTCATTTTCGGTTGTTTTCTTTAATAAATCTTAACTACTTAATTTTCTTGTATTTATTCCTACCCAAAAAAAAACTCCATAATAATGACGAATAAATAGAAACTTGAATGGTGCTTGAGTATGCCAACCACATTATGTTTCAAGTGAGGATGCTCCACCATCGAGACTGCTTTCTCTTCTCCCACTCGTGCTCCAAAGACAAGTTGGAAAATATATTAGCAGTTTTTTTCTTGCAACCTTTTGTCTCTGGTGCCAAGCCAAGCCAAGCCAAGCGATGGTGCTGTTACGAGAAGAATTGTCAGATTGGAATCGTTTTCTGCCATCACCTCGTTCCTTCATCTACTCCACTAACATACAAACTATGACGTCCGTCAGTGGTGTGAAGTTTGCGAGAGGATGCGAGTATAAATAGCTGTGTGTGTTTGGCGGAGGGAGTGGTGGATGGAGAGAGATGGGCAGAGGGGGTGGTGGGCGAGTGTGTTGTTCGAAAGTTGGTTTGGAGGGAGAGAGGAGTAATGTAATGTCTAATATTCCCCTCGCCTGTCTCTCCCGAATCCTCGAATCTCGATTGCATTGCATAAGATAAGTTTAATTTCACTAATGCACTCCATGTGTGGTTCTCTCTCTCTCTCTCGCAGTACATTCAGCGATTCAACAACAACCAACAATATAACACTTCCTAGAGCAGAGCATTGCTTTCCATTGCTTTTCAAACACTATGACATGAAAGTTGGGAACATTGGGAATTTTCAGGCATCGCATTATGTACGGTGACTAATAATACTAATACCACCGTTCGCTTCCGTCCACCACCGTCTACTGTTGGTTTTGAAGGAAAGCTGCAACGGGAAAACCTTCCAGCCCAACTTTTATGTAGAATTGGGTTACAAAGTCTGTAGCATGGATGAATGAATTGCAAAAATTGAAATGTTGAAATCTCGATATGCCCCATACAGGGATTTGGCCTCGTTACACCCTAGTTGAACAGGTAGGGAGACCATGGAGAGAATGGGGACGATGACGCAGTGCTTGGTGTGAGGTGGATGAAAATGAACTTGGTTTCGCTCTGCTTTCATTTCCTCTGCCTGATTGTGAGTTGTAGTAGCAGCAACAAACAGGAAACCTTTATTGTTGTGTCATGCTCATACTCTGCGCACAATGAGACACAATGCGAGAAAGACAAAAGACATTGGTATGACCAAAGTAAGGTCGCGTGCCGTTGGGGAGACTGGACCATTGACTTTGGTCTCCGTGTGGCTGCAGTTCCCACATTTCCCAAAGTTGTGCTCCCGTTACCCAAAGTGACGGTCAAAGGTCAATACCACATTTCACGGGGAAAACTGTGTAATTGTTCCATTGTGCTCATGAACGTCAGACAAGATTGGCATCAAACATTCAGCATATGTTTTTTTTCCTATTTTTAATATTGTTTTGCATATGAGGAGACACTTGGAGATGTAAACCGATCTCCAGTTACCCGGTCTGACTTTTGTCTTCAAAATGGTTCAAGAGTTGGATTAGTATGACAAATTATTACGATACTTCCACATGAGTGGAGGCAATAGACTGTGTTTCTGTATATTTTCCAGTTGCATATGTATGATCCACAAGGGTAGAAGACAAAATACAACAGCCGTGTGTAAGGAGGAAGATACAACAAATGGTTTTGTCGTATATATGAATAATTCATACGGATATATGTGAACATGGAGGAAAGCTCTTTGCAAGTATTACCATCGCATCTTCATGTAAGTCAGGCCATCGAGCAACACAGCCAAATTGAGGACAACAAACAATGAACAACAAAATATGCCGAGTTCCAATTCAAGCTTGTTTGATTGAACTTATTATTACAGCATTCGACCAGTTATTGTTGTTTGTTTTGCGGTTTTGTGATGACTCTAGATAAAAATTAAAGGTTTAGAAATGTGCACACATTTATTAGTTTACAACATTGACACTTTGGTGACCTTTTTCTACAACAATGGTCACAAGCCACTTATTGAGCAGCTAATGCACCCTTGAGTTGTACATTTTGTACAATGTGCTGAGGTTTTTAGATTTCCCAACTTCCGATTGTAAGTGAATCAACATGGAAAATGATTCACAACAACCAAAGTGATAAATTGTTCATGGCAAAAAATGAGTACTTTTCCTGCTATTTGAAATGTTGAAGTGCTCCAAAGTCCACTTTCCTTTTCCCATTAGATCCATTTGCATGTAATGTTTTATGCATGACAAAGTGCGCGTCGTTTATAAGCTTGTATTGTGTTGTAAACATTTGTAGTTTTCTTAACTTAGATATCTACACTCATGCATGCTAATTAGAAATCCGATTTTTTGTCCATGACCTTATATAGTACACACCTTATATATATTTACTTATTGTACGAGTAAGCGTAAGGTGTCTATGTATTGGTATGGCATGTCATTTGACATGACCGAGTTTAATTATTATTACGTTGAATACAACTAGTTAGGCATACATCCAAACATTTTCGGCACAAAGTACAAACACAAACAAGTTGGAGACAAAGGGAGCCAACAACCCAGGTTCAAAGTATCGTCGTCGTCGGAGAGAGGATATAAAAGCATCAGTAACACTCATTTGTACACTTCTTCCGGCCATTCTTCCTCAACCACCACCAAAGTTACAACAATGCCAACCTGTTTTTTGCAGCCCAACTCCTGCCCTCGTCGTGACAGTTTGGAGAGTTTCAGGATATAAATTGACGTCGGCCTTTCTCCCATTTCCATTCCTCTTGAAATGATCCGTATTTATCAAATCTCTCGAGCAGACAGGCCAAAAACCAAATAAATCTTGTCCAGCGCCGGACAGAAGTTTGGAGGAAAGGGAACTTTGTGTGAGAAATCTGGAAAAGTAGCTCGCACTCCCAAACAGTCAATCATCTCTTTGGTCAATGTTGTCAACGAGCACAACACGATCTCATATTTTATTTACTCTTATTTTTCTGCATTTTGATTTCGCTTTGAGAAATATTTTCCGAAACCCGAGAAGAGAAAGTTGTGCGCTGGTGGTGGTGGTGCATTGTGTGGGGTTAACTATTGTTAGGTGTCTTTTCTCCCTTCTTCTTCCCTTAGTCCATGGTCGCGATGGTTGGCAGGAAGGGAGGAAGCGGAGAGAGAATGAAAGCACCAACTATCCCCCTCGCACAAAATGATTTCTTTTATTATTATGAAACAGTTGCACTCTTCTTCGTCTGTGAGATGTCCCACCGTCCTTTTCTCAGCGGTGGGCTCCACATTTATTGCTCTCTTTCACTTCTCCTCAAAAAAGCCTACACAAGAGCGGAAGGATGGTCTATAAGTTTCGAGATTTGATCAAGAAATCTCCGTCAGTGTAATGACTTCCTTTGCTTTGTGTGCACGGAGGCGAGTCTTTCTCCAGCGGTGAGAATATGGAACACGGTTATGCAAGAATACTACAATGCCTTATTCTTCTGGAAGGGGCAAATTACGACTAAAATCGTGGCAACGTCATCTTACATTCATATTTATTATTTATGTAACGCAAAATACTTACCAACACCATTTATGCAATACCCATAGAAAATGTGTATATTCCATTTCGACACCCACTTGTCTTTGACATTCTACTCTTAAAAAATTTACTTTATCAGCCTTGGTGTTTGCATTATTGTAAGAAACATGTTAGAAAGACTGGACAACCAAGAGTGGTCGAAGACAAATGTAAAATCACAATTATTTCAAAAACTGTTGCAGTTGGATCATCCTCATGAAGTCAGCGTATGCATGTGTGTATTGAGGTGCAACAGCGGACAAAAGTTGACTGACGGTGGCCAAGTCGCATGATTTTTGGATCGATTGATGCACCGTGTCGACCAGAATAGCTTCAAGCTTTTATCACTAATGCTTCCTTGGAACAACTCAAACTCGGTCGGGAGTCACCCTCACTTTCACTTCTGCAACGCTCCCCATCACATCGCATTTATTATATGCCCAGAAGAAGGAGCAGCAGTAAAGCCAAATGCAAACCAAGCAAAAGTATCTCTCAGATTTTTATTTTGCTTCACTAACTCACAGAAAAGAGAGACAAAGGCAAAATCTGGGCATCGGTGATGGAACGGAATTATTCCGCAAAGCCACCCCTCACTCAAATTCTTTTCACCCAACCGACCAAAATTTCATTTCCATCAAAAATAATAGACTTAAGTAACTTTTACTCTTTAAGAGCTATATCATGATTGTCATGATTGCTAAGAGCCCTCAAAAAAAAGATAAAGAAAAAAGTGCTCTTTTTTCTTTGTTTAACAATAAGAATAATTTGCTTAATTGAATCAAAACTTTCTTTTTTACGTATTTTAAGCAAGAGAACAAAGTTGTTTGAGCACTATGTTCCAAACTTGTGGCTGGAGCTTGTGTAAGCGACGTGCGATTTATGAATTCATATCGACCCATTAAAAACCGTCAAGCACAAGAAGACCTTATCAAATGTTGACCTCTGATGACCGTCAATGTCATTATCACATTTTATAAATAAAAAAATATTTTCCTCATGAATTATGGCGACGACATTGAATGAGTAAGTAGAACCACTTGATCTGCGGCTGATAATGACAACATTGTAGCAGCACAAAAATATCAGGGGAAAACTATTATAATCCAAAAAACATTTCAACTCTTTCTTTGCAAATAAATAATTCAATCCACGAGCTGTCTGGCGATTCGTCACGAGGAAAACTTTTGTTGTAACCAAAGATTTAAATGGATTTTGCTTGCTCCTGCTTTTCTTGTTCCCCAAATACGTGAATATTTTATGAAACATGTCTTTATTATCAAGAAAAATCTAAAATGAGCACATCAACAAGTTTAACGTTCTCAACTATATACATATTCACGGTTTGATTGTACTGTAAAAAATATATGCAATTGAACTGTTTTGAGAAGCAAAAAATATTTTGCAACAATTTTAAAGGAAATATTACATGTCAATATATGCTAACGGAAAAAACCGTACAATAAAATGGAATAAAATAGGCCGTTCATTGCCACCCTTCATG